TATTATAATTATAATATTAGGCATCAATAGGCTTGCTATTATAATAGCAAGCGTATTAAAATGCAGTTCAAAACATAAGGACGCTATCTGCCATAACATCCTGTTAAATTAGTTGTTAGCTTGTTGGATAATTTTGATCTTGTTTTCACAAATTTGAGTGACTCAAGACGCTCGCCTATGGTTCGCATAAAGTGAAGTCTTCGGTATCCGCTGCGAGGGTGTTTGCCCTGAGTAATTTGCATAATCTTAATACTTTACTATGAAGACTGATTTCGGAGACCGTTTTATTCGCCACTCAGGTTGTTTTACCGAGTATTATTCAGCAAACTACGTCCGGTCATCTACAGCTACGAGTTTATTTCTCTGTTTACACACTCTTAGTCTATGAAATGAACCAGCATCAAACATCACCGGTAATCAAAATAATCACTACGGCGCTTGGGTGTTGTTTTGCTCGTTTGTAGGTTTGAATACAAGAGTATCAAACGTTACTTGGCATATATTCATTTGACACCCAATTAGTCGACATTTACTCGTTTCAGTTCCCATTAGTTCATTTCCTATCTGTATATTCTGTAATGTTCATACAGGGGAACCGACAAAGTAATGTTTATTAAGGCCGTGAGGCTGAACTCGGACGTTATCGGCAGCCGAGGCTGTTGGTATAGGGATCTCGTCTGCTGTTGTCTTTCTCTCAGCAACCTCGGATCTCAGCGTATCGTCAATTCACCAATAGGTTATTTAAAAAGTACTCACCACTCGGAAGTCTGGCGAAATAATGCTTTGCTCTTTGTTTACTGAGTGTTTATCTCTCGAGCATAAATGTTGCACAAAGTAGCGTCTGTTACTGACTATGGGCTGTGTAGCCCTTTTCATATGTAAACCTGAATCATTTTTTCTCATAGACGTCGGTTCGTTGGATGATCTACGTGAAGTGGCGCGAGGCCCATCCTCCCACTCTCCCGTTGCTAGCGGGGACCAGCCGACCCACGAGGATTCACACGCCTTCCAGAGTGATTTTGTTTCAGTTTCCCCTAACCCAAACGCAGAGGAGGAACCCCGGCCCAGGTCATCAGCTTCGTCCCACGCCTCTTCTCACCAAAGCAGCAAAGAGAAGGTGCCAGTAACGCCAATGGCATCAGCTTTAATGGAGTCCTGGCGTGCGAATTTCGAGGCAAATATCAAAGAGCGCGATGAACGGGAGGAACATAAACGTCAGGAACTGGAAGCCAATGCCAAAAGGGTTAGCCTTCCATTTTTGCTCCCGCTAGTTTTTTTTCACCTTTTTTTCTTCTGTTAAAATGGCCTTCCCTTATCCTACTTATTTTACAGGAGCTTGAGGTCTGGTACTCAAACTACCGCAATCAGCTGGCGGCTAGGTCGACGGATAACAGATCAGAGGCTCCAAAGGATGCATCGGGTAAAGTCTACAACA